TAGTGGGACCATCCTTGTGCCTTTGTGCAATGTATCTAAAGAACCGGTCCCCAGAAGTGGGATTCCAAGTACACAGTTGCTTCTTTGTCGAGCAAGTGGAGAACAGTAAAGCACAGCTAGAACCTACCAGAGGCAGTAGACTGATGAACTCGAGTTAAAGTCTATTGTCCCAGAGTCTGGGATAACTTTTTGGTTTTTTAAATCACTCTTTTAATATCCTAAGGCCCTTAAATGAGCATGAGCCACCTTGAATGAATATCTGTTCCAATGAAAGAAAGACTTTTTAGAAAGAAAAGTCACTACTCTCTCATTTTCTGGATGTTCCTTTGTGATCAAAGGGTTGCCTGGCTGTTTGTGTCTCTTCAGACCATGTAGTTGAACAAAGAACATCCCCGGGTTGTATTTGCAAGTCAAAGCCTCAGTTGTTATCTTTTTCAACCAAAACTTTCTGCTTATAAAATGTGCCTTCATTTACTGTTCAAAAACTAGTATTGAAAGCATTGCCAACTGCATCATCTGCAGCACTTTATGGGAAGTCTGTGAGGAAAGTCCTGTTGGGGACGCTCTGTCCCCTCTCCTGCTATGACTCGTGCAGTGCCCTGGCCCTTCCTGCCAGCAGACTCAGGGCACGCGTGCAGGTCTGCTACAGCACATGTGTTACCACGACGTTACCACATTTGCATTCTCCTTTGTTTTGTTTTGTTTTGACTCTGGTTTTCTGTTTTTATTTTATTTAACCTCATTATTGACTCTTTTGTGGTAAAGCATTTCAAATCCTTTCAAGACAGAGGTGGGCTATAAAAATAATCTCTTTGTTTGGCATTGTTAATAAATAGGTAAAATACAAGTTTCAAAATCACTGTTGTTTGGCAAAGTGCTAAGAGCCCAGGCTGCAGACCTAGCTCTGGACTTAGACTTTAGACAAGAGCAGCATGCCATTCACTCCCAGCCCCACGTGCTCTCGCCGTGGCCGTGGGCCAGCCGAGTAACCTCTCTGAGCCTCAGTTTGCTCCTGTGTAAAGTGGCGATGATAATTTGGTTATAGCATTTCTTTGAGGATTAAATGAGATGCTCAGTACATTACAAACATGTGATAAAAAAATACTAAGGTATAAGTCATTGTAAAGTGTAGCTCATATCACTTGGAAACATGTAAGCAGTTTCTCAGTTTTTGTTGGGTAGATTGTATTTTCTACTTTTCTGGTACCTTCCTACAGCACAAGGAATTACAAGACCGGTCTGAGGGTGGGTTGGCATCCCGCAGGACAGGAAGAGCTCTCTGAGTTTATTGCAGATGTGTGTCTGAACTGGGCCCCCAAACACACTGTGCTAAGTGGGCAGTGAGCATAGGCCATGCTAACTCACAACATGGAGTGGTGCTTAGATTTTTTTTACCTACAATACATACATTTGGTGTTTAATTATCTATGGTGATGGCAGAAGGGAAAACATAAGCATAAATAAATGGCAATCTATAAGTCATCTGCTCTTGGATGACACCACCCCACACACATCCATTTGCATTTTTGTTGCTGGTGGTGGTTTGTTTATTTTGAGACAGGGTCTTGCTTTGTTGCCCAGGCTGGAGTGCAGTGGTGCGGTCATAGCTCACTGCAGCCTTGAACTCCTAGGCAAAAACCATCTTCCTGCTCAAGCCTCCCAAGTAGCTGGGACTATAAGTGTATGCCACCAGGCCTGGCTAAGTTTTCAATTTTTTGTAGAGACAAGGTCTTGCTATATTGCTTAGGCTGGTCTCCAACTCCTGGCCTCAAGCAATCCTCCCTCCTCAGCCTCCCAAAGTGCTGAGATTGCAGGCGTGAGCCACGGTGCCTGCCTCCTCCTGCATTTTGTTTTCATCCTTCCTCTTCCCAAGACGACTGTCCTCGGCCAATCGCCATCATCCTTTCCTCTGGACCCGTTCAGAGACGGAGCTACGAAGTTCCCCACCAGGCTTCCCCGCGGCAGCTCGCTTTCCCCTTCCACACTTCCTGGGAGTTCCCTCTGAGAAACAGCTCCGCGTGTCACGTCCTGATTAGTAAAGCCGGCACTACTTGGCATGCCTTTTGAAAAACGTCTTTTGCATAAAATTTATAATATCCTTTATAAACTTTATAATTTCTGCCCTCCAACTTTTATTAAATATTTTGAAATTTTCAAATCTACAGAAAATAATGAAAGAATATGTGTTCTCCCTAGATTCTTTAATTTGTAAAATATTTTGACACACTTGTCCCTTCCTTCTGTGCCCTCTTCTCACTGTGCGGAAGTGTCGAAAGCTGCAGACACCGCGTCCCCCATCGCTGCGCACCTCTCGGGCTCCTAAGACGCGGTCGTTCTCCGCGTAACCACAACGCCGTCATCGCACTTACAAAACCGAAGGACGGACGACGGTTCCCTAATGTCATGCTCGGATCAATTCCAGCTGCCCAGTTTGCCCAGCTGTTGCCCTCTACGCCCTGCCTCTGTCAGAGCCTCGCACCCTGCTCCTCAGTCATTTCTGGTGTTTTAACAGCCCAGGCCCGTGCCCTCTGGCTGAGTGTCCAGGCGGCTCGCCTTTACAAGGTGGCACAGTGTGGGTTTGCCGCGTCCCCTGCTCCTCTCCCCGTGTTTCCCACAACTGGATTGGCTCGGGAGGTTTCTGTCTCTCTCCCTCTCAAAACAACAGATCCAGGTGGGTTTCTCCCCATTCCTCTTCCCTCGCTCCCCTTTAGTTCCGGGTGGGCGAGTGGAATCCTCCCCCGCCAGCCTGTCCGCCGCCTGTGTAATGCTGTGAGCGCCGCGGAGCTGCTTGGTGCTGGAGCACCGAGCGCGGAGCACCGAGCGCGGAGCACCGAGCGCGGAGCACCGAGCGCGGAGCACCGAGCGCGGGCCAGGGGAGGCCGCCTGGGTCCGATTAGAGCCCAGCCGGGGCAGCCGACCGTCAATAAGCGGGTTTGGGATGGAACGTAGGTGGCACTCAGACAGGAGTGTGAATCGTGACGGGGACAGGGGGGTGCTCTTGTCTCCAGGGCGCTTAGTGCAGAGCCGCCTGGCGCGGTGACGTTGGTGTAGGAGCTGGAGGGGACACAGAGCGCGAGAGCGCAAGCACGGCCGCGAGGGCCGGGAGCCAGCCTGCTCGGTCGCCACGTGCTGGCGGGATGATCTGTTCCGGGCCACCCGGGCGGGCCGGGCGGGAGCCAGCGAAGGGCCAAGGTGCGCGCCGGCTTGGGCAGACCCGCCCCGGCTCCTCCCCCGAGCTTGCCCTGTGTGTGCCCAGGGGTCGGTCTGCCAGCGCTTCCCTGTGACCATATTTGCTCATTTTGAAGCACCATTTTTAGGGCTGATTAGTTAAACACATTTTGGGGGGAACGAGGAGTAAGGCTGGCGGAAAAAAGAACTCATGCTTCTTTACGGACCAACTCTAAAACCCATCTCCATCTCAGAAACGTTAGCGGGGCGGGGGATGTGCTGTTTTGAATCAAAGAAGTACTTGCTTCCGCTTTATTTGGGGAACTACAGCTAGTTTCAGAAAAAGGTGTGGTTGTCTTTGGAGGCCTCATACCTCAATTAATGAAATGATAAACAAGCTGGCGTTCCGGAGCAGCTGGAAGCCTGCAGGACGGGCGGCGATGGCTGCGTGGAAGAGCCATCCCTCCCTCATCCCGTTGCCTCCTTTGCACCAACTCCCAACCTGAAGTCATCTCCCTTCTCTAAAGTTAACTAAACAGTGGCCCCACACTTGACACTGCTTAGGAATTAACACAGATTACGTGGGAACACCGTGCCCCCACTAGATCGGGAAAGAATTTCCTGGAATGTGTCCATAGAATCTATTCTTCTCATGGATCTATCCTCCTCAAAGAGCCTATAGCAGATTTTGTTGTGTTTTTAATGAATAGATTTGACACTGAGGCCAAAGGCACACCTGATTCAAATGTGCAAAATCACCTTGTCAGTCCCCAGAGTGCTGGGTGTAGTACTGTGCCCATCCTGGTGTGAACTGATGCATGGCGCGTCACTGTGCTGGCCAGGCACAAGTCCCTTCTTGCTATAGTGGCTCTTGCTCCACAGGCCTATCCTGGCTTGTGGTGGCCATGATTTTGCCACCACCTCTCCTGGCTTCCAGACTTAGACATCTCACTGGGAAGCCTTCTGATTTGATCACCTCCATGTTCCCATAAGCATTGTGTCCACCATACCTGTGTCTGCTCCATTATTTCAGTCTCGGTGATGGCCACCACCATCTTCCTAGGCCCCAAGCCATGCTCAGTTGGAGCCTGGTTCTATGCTTCCTAGCTGTGAGTCACATCTGTCCTTGAAGCCTCAGCCCCCTCACTTCACCTTGCACACTGCAGCTTGGATGTGTCACTTGTCTTCCGGGGAAGAAACTAACTCCCTGGCATTGCATCCAGCGTGTGCCTCCCTCTCCGGCCCTGGTGGTTGGTGTTCCCTACCTGCTCCTTGGCTGTAGTCTTTACTGTTGTAGAGCTGGTCTTCTGAAGGGATCAGGGTGATGTAGCGCTCCGAAGGGGCCAGATTAGCATATTAGTTGTCATTGTACGAGAAATTCCTTCTTCCTAGAATTCCTTTACTAAGTTTGCAACCTAGCTGACATTCTCTCATTTTGACTCACAGAGCATTTCCCCCATGAAGCTCTCCCTGACCACCTCCTTTTCCTCTTGCCTGGGTTAGATGTCCTTTCCTAGGTCCTGTGCATCCTCTGTTATTGACTCACCTCACTGTACCCTAATTTCACCTCACACATCTTCACCACAAGAATATGAGCATATTTAGAGCAGGAGTTATGTTTGGCTGATATAAAATTGATGCTCAATGAATATTTCTTGAATGAATGAATGAACAAGCAAGACTATTTGTGAACAATGTCTATATTTGACTTTATTAATCTATGTGTGACAAAGAAGTATATCCTTTTTACTCTTCTTTGATAGAGAGATATTGGTGGCTTGAAGCAAGTTCTGGAATGGTAAAACAATGTCATTGCTTTTATATCCCAACAGGAAATATGGGATGTATAAAATCAAAAAGGAAAGACAATCTGAATGACGATGGAATAGATTTGAAGACTCAACCAGTACGTAATACTGACCGAACTATTTATGTGAGAGATCCAACGTCCAATAAACAGCAAAGGCCAGTAAGTAGATAGCCTCAGGGGAGAATTCCCACAGCAGGATTGAAGCATGGCTGCATAATTTAAAACCAATTTGTAATATATGCATGCAAATTTAAAACTATAATTTAAACCATAATTTAAAACCAATTTGTAATATATGCATGCAAAAAAATCACATTGATTATTTGAGCCTCAAATAATTTTTGATATGCTTTGTGTAATAACTTAATCCTTTAAAGAACATGTAAACAGTTTAGGGATAAACTGGGATTTAGGGATAAACTAGGGATTGTGCACTAAAAGGGCCTTTGGTCACATTCTTATGTGTGGAGAGAATCACCTTACATATTCCTGGTACAAAGACCCCACTTAAAAAAAAAAAATATATATATATATATATATGTGTATGTGTGTGTGTGTGTATATATATATACACACATATATATACATATATATATGAGAGACGGAAATAGATTTATGTGACTTAAGAGAGGTAGTGAGATTAGCACAGTGGTCTGAAAGCAAAAAGCTAAAATAGATGCTAATGTCTTTTGGTGTTTCGTAAATTGCACATCATGCTTTATCCCATCTTGTTTGTTCGTTTGGTTTCTTTCCTTCCTTTCTTTTTTCTCTCTCTCTTTCTTTCCTTCCTTCCTTTCTTTCCTTCCTTTCCCTCCCTCCCTCCCTTCCTCCTTTCTTCCTTCTCTCTTCTTTCTCTTTTCTTTCTCACTCTGTTTTCTAGGCTAGAGTGCAATGGCCTGATTACAGCTCACTGTATCCTCAAACTTCTGGACTCCAGTGATCCTCCTGCCTCAGCCTCCTGAGTAGCTGGGACTATAGGTGGGCGCCACCACACCCAGCTAATATTTCTTTTTTGTAAAGATGGGGTCTTCCTCTTGCTCAGGCTGGTCTTGAACTCCTATCCTTCTGTCTCTGTCTCCCAAAGCACTGCGGTTACAGGTGTGACCTACCACGCCCAACCTCATTTCTTCAACTAATTCAAAATAGTACAGCTCCTGAAGTTGTCATGATTTATTTTAGTGAATTAAAAGATTAAGAAAAAACACATCTAATTCTGCTCCCTAACCTTAGGCAAATATCTGTACTAGAAATTTTATTTGAGTGTTATGCTATTTGATGCATTTGGGAAATGCTTGACAAAGAACTAATAGTATACTTTCATGGAAAGAAGGAAGCTTTGGGCAGTTATAACCTTAAATCCACTTTATTTTAGATCTTATATTCTTTACATATATTTTCTCATGATTTTTTAAAATATGCATAGCATATAATCTGATTTTTATAACATTCCTCAGCATTTAAGCTGGAAACAACTGATTCCAGGTTATCCCAAATGCCTTTATTAAGAATTCTCATAGTTTCCCTAGTGTAACATGCTTTGAAATGCCTTGGCATTTTAGAAATATGTTCCTGGTATCAAGCTCTTCTGCCTGCCCTTCCCCCAGCCCGTTCCATTATCCTGCAGGTGGGACACATCTTCCATATACCAAAGTCACACATCATTGTTGAGACTGAGAAGTCAGAGTCAGTCTTCTTAAGAAGTGGAGATGAAGAGTGAATAAATTATGCTTTTAAGTTATCATACATGCTGTTTCTGGATAAATTAACATTGTAATTTTATACAGAGAAAATATATGTACTAAAATATGTAAGATTATTAATAGCTTTAATAATTTGGTGATAATAAATACATTTAAAAATTAAAAAGCTATTACATAAGTATATACAGATATAGAACTATATGTTACATAAATGTAATTAATAGAAAGTAAAATAAGAGGAATTGGAGTCACAAATAGTTTTCTTATAGACTTCAAAGTTCTTGTAAAAGGATCTGTTTTCTTTGGGTACCATGTGCTATAGATTTTATATGCTTTAAAACCTATGTTGTTGTAATCCTAACACTCAGGGAGGCCGAGGCAAATGGATCGTTTGAGCTCAGGAGTTTGAGACCAGCCTGAGCAAGAATGAGACCCTATCTCTACCAAAAATATAGAAAGAAATTAGCTGGACAACTAAAAATATATACATATAAAAAATTAGCTGGGCATGGTGGCGCTTCCCTGTAATCCCAGCTACTCAGGAGGCTGAGGCAGGAGGATCGCTTGAGCCCAGGAGTTTGAGATTGCTGTGAGCTAGGCTGATGCCACGGCACTCTAGCCCAGGCAACAGAGCGAGAGATTGTCTCAAAAAAACCCAAAAAACCACTTTATTTTTATTTTTGTTTTTCTTTCCTTTCCTTTTTCGTTTCCTTTTCTCTTTCTTTTTCCCTTTCCTTTCCCCTTTTCTTCTCTGTCTTGCTCTGTTGCCCGGGCTATAATGCTGTGGCATTAGCTTAGCTCACAGCAACCTCAGACTCTTGGGCTCAGGTGATCCTCCTGCCTCAGTCTCCTGAATAGCTGAAGCTACAGGTGCACACCACCACTCCCAGCTCATTTTTTCCACTTTTAGTAGAGATGGGGTCTTGCTCTTGCTCAGGCTGGTCTGGAACTTCTGACCTTGAGCGATCCTCCCACCTTGGCCTCCCAGAGTGTTAGGATTACAGGCCTAAACCACTGTGCCAGGCCTGTTTTCTGTTTCTAAATGATGAATCAAGATGTTCTTTATTCAGAAAAGCAAAAGAGAATAGTACAAAGTTACCCACCATTTTTTCCTCTTGTTCAGAGGAAAGAAGATTAAAAATCAAGTTAGAAAGCAGTAGTAGTAAACAGATTTGAAATCTTTCAATTCCCTCATGTAAACCATAAATATTAATAATTTAGTTTGGGCCTCCTGTGGTCACAGATACCCTTGCTTCATGAGCCAATCAGTTTCGGCTTGTTCATGGCTATAAATACCACTCTCAGCCCCGGCCAGATGTGCTAACGTGCACGCCATGGGTTGATGACAAGTCGGCTCAACACAACTCCAACAACACTCTAGAAAAAGCCATTTTAAGGAACAAGCTAGAGCAACAGAATATAAGTCACATATATGTGTTTTAAAAAGTATATTAAAATGTTATAAACTAAGGGCTCTTTGATATTTGAAAAATCAGCTTGCTGCTTTCAGAATGATTTAGTTTGTTTCTCATCTTCTAATTATTTCCTTCAAATCATATAAAATAGAGCATACCTCCTAATTATGCAAATCTAAATGACTGAAAAATCAGTATAAAACGTCTTGAAATGAGTATTGAAGGGCAGCATGCACCGTGGGTTTTCTGACACCACGATACAGTAATTTTCCTCTCCCCTATCACTGGATTAGAGATTTTATGGGGCGACTTTCATCAGAAATTTAAATTTCAGTGCAAACCATTTTGGTCTCATTCTGTGAAATCACTTTAATCAAAGAGAAAGAGAGCAGGCACATGGTTTGCGGCACAGGCCGCTGACAGCACCTTCCTATGAGGCAGCCTCACGTGGCATTGTGAGAAAAAGGAATCTGATTTAAAAGGGAGAGGGAGGCTTTAGTGCCACTAAACCCTTCCCAGTAATTTGCCTCCCAACTAAAATGACAGGGGATGCCATCTGTCCGCATGACAGAGTCATGGGTCGGTTAGGACTTGCTCTCTGCTGCCAGTAACAGAGCCCTGACTACAGGTTTTTAAACAAGCCTTGGAAACCTCGAGTTGGGCAGTCCCAGTTCTGCCAAGCCACCAGGGCCCAGCGACTTCCTTGTGTCGCCCTGCTGCTCTTGGTGGTTTCCATGGCCGCCGGGACTCCAGCCTTCACTTGTTTCTAGGCAGAAAGGGGATGAGGGATGAGGACAGCCTTTGGCAAAGCCTCACACAACCATTTTGCTGGTAGAGAGACCCCTCCCCCATCTGCCCAGGGGCTGGGAAGCTTGGAAGCATAGTCACTGAGCTGGGCAAAATGCCACCCCTGTAATATTAGGGTTCTGCTACCAAATCAGGGGGAGTTATGACAGGGTGAGCCTTGGTCACTTCCTGCCACCACAGGCAAATGACAAAAGAGCCGCGCCACGGGCCCTGTAGGTGGGGGCATAGCTCTATAGATTCTTCTGCCTGCACTCCTGTTCTCTCCAGCTTAATAAGTTAGCAAATCCAAACATCATTTGCTACAGTTAGAAAAATGATATACAACATGAGTGTAAGAAAAGCTAAACATGAAATTTTTCTATCTAACAAATATTCTCTTGTAGGTTCCAGAATCTCAGCTTTTACCAGGACAGAGGTTTCAAACTAAAGGTATGTTTTAGTAGCAACATACTTAAATTTTTTCCTTTACTATTAGAGCTTCTATAAAATAGTTGTCCTAGATATTTTTATTTATTTTTTTTTATTGTGGGAAAATATGTATAACATAAAATTTACCATCTTGACCATTTTTAAGTGTACAGTTCAGTGGCATTAAACACATTCACATTGTTGTACAACCATAACCACATGGTTGTACATGGTGTACATGGTTGTACCACATGTTGTACATCCATCTCCAGAACCTTTTATCTTCCCAAACGGAAATTCTGTACCTATAAAACAATAATTCCTCCTTTACTTCTCCCCCAGCCCCTGGCAACCACCACTGTACTTTTTGTCTCTGAATTTGTCTACTCTAGGTACCTGATATGGATCATTCAGTATTTGTCCATTTGTGTCTGGCTTATTTTATTTAACACAATTTCTATAAGGTTCCTCCATGTTGTAGCATGTGTCAGAACCTCATTCCTTTTTAAGGCTGAATAATATTTCCACTTTAAGTATATACCAGATTTTGTTTATCTGTTCATTCACTGATGGACATTTGGATTATTTCCACAGTTTGGCTATTGTGAATAACGCTGCTATATGCACGTGGGTTTCTTAAAAACGCAGAGTTGAAATTACAGTTGTAGTTTTAAATGATCTTCCATGATAAACCCCGCACGCAGTGCAGACAGCAGGTTACTCCCCGCGGGTATTCCCTGTAGACCTGAACCCGCAGGGAGGCAGCCCGTGTCCTTGCCAGCTGCCCTCTCTTCAGCGCATCGTCCCGTCCTTCGTGGCCCGTGAGGATTTGCTAAAACATTGCTGCTGATCCGTTCTCAAGGCGACCACTTGTGCTCTTCCTGTTTAGACCCAGAGGAGCAAGGAGACATTGTGGTGGCCCTGTACCCCTACGATGGCATCCACCCGGACGACCTGTCTTTCAGGAAGGGAGAAAAGATGAAAGTCCTGGAGGAGTAAGTGGTCCCAAGCAGGCTGTGGCCGCTCCTTTCCTTGGGCCGCTGGGTCCTGCGCTGTCCCCTTGTTTTGCCTCTGGTACCTCGGCCAGCCCCTGCTCGTGGGGGGCAGGAGCCTCTGAGCCTGCTTGGAGTACTCTGCTTGGGCAGGGGGAGGAGTAGGGCCCAGGAAGTTTCCTTTTAAGGCTAACTGTTGGGGGGGAGCACTCTTGGGGGGGAGGTGCAGCTTTGAAGACAGACCCCCTGGATGTGAGGGCGATCTGGCTGCGACATCTTTCACCCCATTGATCGCCAGGGTTGAAGACAGACCCCAGTTTCTTTTTTTTCTTCCTTTTATTTCATTATATTATGGGGGTACAGATATTGTTAGGGTTACATATATTGCCCCTGCCACCCCTCCCCACCATGCGAGAGCTTTAAGTGTGTCCAGCCCCCAGGTGGTGCACACCACACCCATTATGTAAGGCATTCACTCCTCTCCCCCACCTGCCCATCACCCCATAAAAGTTTTTTTTCTTTTTTGACATTTTGGTTATGTTGTATATCTTTACCTCTCCCTAAGAAAGGTTAGAGGTATTCCTTTCTCCCTCACAATGCTTGCCATATCCCTAGGATGTGGGTCTCCACCCCCCAAATCCCTGGTGAACACTACCACCCTTTGAGCACCATAGTTTTACTCAGTCAGTACCAATTTGAAAGCAAGTAGATGTGGAGCCCATTTTCCAGGTCTTGTGTTGCCTCACTTTGGATAACAGGCTTAAGCTTAATCTAGGATAGCATAAACGCTGCTAGCTCACTGTCATTTCTTAGAATTGAGTAATATTCCATTGTAAGCATATACCAAATTTTAATTATCCACTCTTGAATTGACGGGCACTTGGGTTGTTTCCATGACGTTCCAATAGTGAATGGTGCTGCGATAAACATTCGGGTGCAGATGTCTTTTTTTTTTTTTTTTTTTATTTGGCATATTGATGGGTACAGATTTTAAGGTTTTCATAAATGCCCATTTCCCCCCTCCCCAAAAGTCTGAGTCTCCATCATGACCATTCCCAGATTGTGCACATCTCACTCTTATGTATGTATATACCACCCCCCTCCCCTCCCACCTGCCCAATACCCTATTACTGTAGTACCTATGTGTCCACTTAGGTGCTAGTCAGTTGAATACCAGTTTTCTGGAGAATATATCTGTTGTGCTTGTTTTTCCATTCTTGGGATACTTCACTTAGTAGTTATGGGTTCCAGCGTCTAACCAGGAAAATATAAGTGTGCTATATCACCATTTGTTTCTTAAGCTGAATAGTACTCCATGGTATACATATACACATTTTATTAATCCATTCTTGGATTGATGGGCACTTGGGCTGTTTCCACAGCCTTGCAATTATGAATTGTGCTGCTATAAACATTCGAGTGCAGGGTGTTTTTTTGTAGAGTGTCACTGGATCATTTGGGGTAGATGCCCAGCAATGGGATTGCTGGATCAAATGGTAGATTCAGTTGTATCGCTTTAAGGTATCTCATATTGCTTTCCCACAGAGGTTGAACTAGTTTGGCAAGTCCCACCAGCAGTGTAGGAGGGTTCCTCTCTCTCCGCAACCACGCCAGCATTTATTGTTTGGAGATTTTTGATAAAGGCATTCTCACTGGGTTAAGTGATATTCCATTGTGTTTTGATTGCATTTCCCTGATGATTAGAGATGTTTTGAGCATTCTTCATATGTTTGTTGGCCATTCTTCTGTCTTCTTTAGAAAATTTCTGTTCAAGTCTTTGCCACTTTTTAATGGGTTATTTGATTTTTTCTTCCTAATTTCGTGAGTTCTAAGTATATTCTAGTTATCAGTCCCTTATCGGATGCATAGGATGCAAAATTTTCTCCCATTCTGTAGGTTGTCTGGTTACTTATCATGACTATTTCTTTGGCTGTGCAGAGCTTTGTAGGTTTGATCATGTCCCATTTTATTTTTGTTGCTGCTGTGATTGCCTTTGGGACTTCTTCATAAACTCTTTTGCCAGGCCGATGTCTAGGAGAGTGTTTCCAACTTTTTCCTCTAGAGTTCTAATAGTTTATATATCTTAGGTTTACGTCTGTATCCAGCGTGAGTTGGTTTTTGTGAGAGGTGAAAGGTGTGGGTCCTGTTTTCGCTTCTACAGGTGCTATCCAGTTTTCCCAGCACCATTTATTGAAGAGAGATTCTTTTCCCCAGCGTATGTTTTTGTCTGCTTGTCAAAGGATGAATGGCTATATGGAGGATGGTTTTATATCAGGATTCTCAATCTGTTCCATGGTCAATATTCCTGTTTTTGTGCCAAATACCATATTGTTTAATTACTACAGCTTTGTAGTATAGTTTGATATCTGGCATATTAATGCCTCCCATTTGTTTTGTTGCCTAGACATTGCTGCTTGATATTCGGTCTTCTTTGGTTCCATACGAAGGTAAATTATTTTTTCTATTCTGTGAAGAATGCTGATGGGTTTTAATAGTATTGCATTGAATCTGTAGATCAGTTTGGGTAGTATAGACATTTTGATGATATTGAGTCTTGCCGATCCACGAGCATGGTATGGATTTCCATCAGATTCTTTATAATAGAATGTCTTATGCTCTTTTGGGTAGATGCCCAGCAATGCTATTGCAGGGTCGAATGATATTTCTATTTCTAACTATTTGAGGTATCTCCAAATTATTTTCTACAAAGATTGTACTAATTTGCAGTCCCACCAGCAGTGTAGGAGTGTTCCTGTCTCTCTGCATCCTCGCCAGCATTTGTTGTTTTGGGATTTTTTGATACGGGCCATTCTCGCTCGGGTTAGGTGGTTTTGATTTGCATTTCTCTGATGATTAGAGATGTTGAGCATTTTTTTTATATGTTTGCAGTCCATTATTCGTCTTTCTTTGAAGAAGTTTCTGTTCTTTCCATTGCCCATTTCTTGATGGGGTTGTTTGGATTGTTTGTTTTAATTCTTTTAGTTCTAGATAGATTCTTGTTATTAGACCTTTCTCAGAAGTGTAGAGAGCAAATATTTTCTCCCATTCTGTGGGTTGTCTATTTGCTCTGATGATAGTTTCTTGGCTGGCAGAACTTTTATATTGATCGATACCTATTGTTTTTTTTGTTGCTGTGGCTATTGACTTGGGGGTCTCCCTCAAAAATTCTTTGCCTAGACCAATGTCTGATAGAGTTTTCCCAACATAATATTCTAGGATTCTTAAGTTTCATGCCTTTAGGTTTAAGTCTGTTATCATCTTGAGTGAATTTTTGTGAGAGGTGAAACGGTAGGGTCCTGGTTCAGTCTTCTGCATGTAGCTAACCAGTTTTCCCAGCACCATTTATTGAAGAGGGATTCTTTTCTCCATTGTATATTTTTGTCTGCTTTATCAAAGATTAGGTTACCATATACTGAAGGTTTCATCTCTGGTATCTCAGATCTATTCCAGTTATCAATGCTTCTGTTCTTGTGCCAGTACCAGGATGATTTAACTATTATTGGTTTATAGCACAGCTTGAAGTCAGGAAGACTGATGCCTCCCAGTTTGTTCCTTTTACTTAAGATTGCTTTGGCTATAGGAGATTTATTCTGGTTTCATACAAAGTGAAGAATATTTTTTCTGTCTGTAAAGAATGCTGGTGGGATTTTGATGGTTTGCATTAATTCTGTAGATCACATTAGGTAATATTGACATTTTAACAATATTGATTCAATCAATCCATGATCAAGGTAGATTTTTCCATCTGTTTAAATCATCTGCAATTTCTTTTTTAGTGTTTCATAGTTCTCCTTGTGTAAATCTTTTGTGTCTTTTGTTAAGTATACTCCTAGATATTTAATTTTCTTTGGGGCTATAGTAAAGGTATTACGTTTTGATTTGAGTTCTTGCCTTGATGGTTCTGGCTATATGAATGCTTTATGATTTGTGTGTATGATTTGTATAACCTGAAACTTTCCAAATTTCATTTATAAATCTAGGAGTCCATGAGTTTTCTAGTATACTATCATATCATTGGCGAGAGCGAGAGTTTGATGTTCATCTGCTCCCAGTTAAATGCCCTTAAGTATCCCTTTTGCCTGATTGCCTATAGCTAGGACTTTGAGCACATGTTGAATAAAAGAGGAGATGTGGGCCTCCTTGTCTGTTCGGTGTTCGAAGGAGGGAATGCTTTATATTTCCCCATTTAGAATGATATTAGCAGTGGGTTTGTCATACATGGATTTGATATTTAAGTATGAGCCATCTATGCCTATTTTGTTAAGAATTTTTATCATAAAGGTGTGTTGGACTTTGTCAAATGCTTTTTCTACATCTATTGACAGGTCTTTGTTCTTGATTTTATTTATGAAGTGAATTGCATTTATAGACTTTTCGTCGTTGAACCAGCCTTGCATCCGTGGAATAAAGCCCACTTGGTCATGGTGAATTATTTTTTTGATGTGCTACTGAATTCTATTTGTTAAAATTTTATTTAGTATTTTTGCATCTATATTCCTGAGGGATATCAGTCTGTAATTTTCTTTTTTCATTGAGTCCTTTCCTGGCTGTGGTATCAAGGTGATATTGGCTTCGTAGAATGAGTCAGGAAGGATACCATCCTTCTCAATGGTGTGGAATAGTTTCTGTAGTATAGGTATGAGTTCATCTTTGTATGTTTGGTAGAACTCTCAAGTGTAGCCATCTGGCCCAGGACTTTTCCGTTTGGGGAGGATTTTATTACTGCTTCAGTTTCTGAGCTTGAGATTGGTCTATTTAGGAATTCTGTTACCTCTTGGGTGAACTTAGGGAAGTTGTATGAATCCAGGAATTTGTCCATTTTATCTTCATTCTGTAGTTTTGGGCATATATTTTTTTATCGTAGTAAATATATGTTTTGTATTTCTGTGGTGTCTGTTGTGATTCTCCTTTTTCATTTCTTATTGAGTTTATTAGAGTCCTTTCCCTTTGAGTCCTTGTCATCTAGACAAGAGGCCATCAATTTTGTTTATCTTTTCGAAAAC